CACATTGGCGACAGCGCCCCTTTTTCGCGTGTCTGCCGCGTGGGACAAAGCAGTTTTTCCCTATTTTTGACGAGTGCGCATAAATGCTAGGGCTTTTATACACCAAAACAATTGAAGAATGATAAGAATTCATTGCAGAAGCTAGTAAAACTTCGCTACTTTCCATTACTTCCAAGATAAACCCGAAATTTCCATAGAATTCTCCCGCCTCATTCACGTGGGACGTGGAAATAGGGTCGCAAAAAAGGAATAATTTCGCGGCAGAGGTGGTAAATCGGATTCGATCCAGATCTGCTATTGTCGAAAGTTACTTTATCCCATTAGCTATCTGCTTGTGGAGCTCCAGTTCTACAAATACAAAAATTGCTTTTTTCCTAAGGAAATCACTTTCGTTTGCCTCCTTGGTAAAATACTCTCAATGACACAACTGCATTGTTTACACCTACTGCATATTATACAATGCCTTCCTCTATAATATGTAGCTGTTAAAAATTTGAAACGTATTCAAATTGGTCTTTTACACATGCCGCATCCCAGCAGTGGGACGCAATGTCCCACGCGGCAAAAAAGGTGCGTCCCAGCAGTGGGACGCAATGTCGCCAACGTGTTAAAGGTCTCCATGAGCAGAAATCGATATTGTGGGGATCAGTGATGACGCGAAACACCGGCTTCCATTGATTTATTAGGAGACAGTGGTCAAGAGCAGGGGTCTCTTCGGAGATCGACTCAGTTCGTTGGCCAGCCAATATTCAGTGTTCTTCTGCCAAACAAAGTTTTTGATGACACCTTTATTGGCCTACGTTTCGACCGTTCCTCGTCTTCTAGAGGGCCTGAAAATGGCTCGAAGCTTTTAATTTGTTACCTACCCGACCAAACGCCCTCCCCACTCTAGCGTTTCCGACCTTGTTTCCCAAACGCTTCCCAAAAACTCGGTAATGAGTCCTAAAACTCACCGAGGTATCACCCGTGCGGAGCTCAGCTCACGCAGTGGGTTTTAGTTGAACCAGTAAGGACGAATGAGACTCACTTGTGTCTCACTGTGTCGCAAAAGTCAAAATTGTTATAGCGCACGTAGTCCTTACTGTAGCTCGCACTCTGATACAAACGGCCAGAAATCATTTTGTTAATTGGCCAGACACTCATTTCGGTTGTTCATTCTTGGTTTTCTCGCGAAAATCCAGAATGACTCCAGAACTTTCCTGGCTGAAGTTTCCGTCTCGTACGCCAGTATAACACATTTAACATCGAAGTCGTTCCCGTTATGCTGCTCCACCTTATGCTTGCCAAGGGGAGTGGTCATGATATCACGCCTTTTCCCAGCTAGGTGTTCTCCAATGCGTGTAGCCAATACCCTTCCTGTTTCTCCGATATACGTGCTGTTACACGCCCTACATTCAAGCTGATAAATTACTCCAGCTTTCCCGCAATCTCCTAACTTCCCATATGGGCAGATAACGCAGTCTGGTGTCAAGCACTGTCTGTCGTACAGTCTGTTGCGCACAAGTTGGCGTTTGATGTTGCTGTTGGGGATATTTACCAAGACAACATCGTCGTGTAATTGTGCCCTAACAATACTGCGACGTATTTCAGTGCTGATGGGGGCTGATTGCGATCCGGAACTAAAAGGAAGCATAAGGTACTTTCGCTGGGAGACCGTCTTTCGACCGTCTTCGTCTTTTAACCTGGGGCAGGGGATGATTCCAGCGTTAGCTGACCTAGTCGGCTCACAGGGGACAGTGTGAAATGATGTGATGAAATGATATGTGTGAAATGGTGGTGTAGGTACGACCCCCCCCCTCGAGAGAGGGTGTCAGTCGACCCCCCCCTCCCTTCTCCACCATCTACCGGGAAAATTTTTCCAACAGCCGGCAAATTTCTCTCAAAGGCGCAGCACGATCCCGCCCCTCTCCAAAAACGAGCCCCCCCCCCTTCCGAGCGGAAGAAAGTACGAACGCCAATGGTGTTCACACAACTGTACCCGTCTGTCTTTAGCAATTGAGAGTCACACTACCGTGTCCAACAAATTGCGGTTTGTTGCATAAGGATACCGCTTTGTTCACGGAGCGATGCCCAGAGTAGCAATGAGGTTGGATTTGCGTAACAACCTGAATGAGCTACCCGTGATAGTATGCCCGCCACATACCTTCTCCTCCCTCATCCCCCGCACCACCCACGGGCCTCAGACACTCCTGTCGTCCGCTTCAAAATTTCCACGTCATGCATATCTACTCGTTCTGCTCCTTCGACTGATTCTCCTGAACCCATGATAACCGATTCGTTTTGGACATTCGTGTAACGAACCGAGGGCCCGTACAGGACCATATTGATCATATGTATTGAAATATTCGTAATAGGGCACATCATTGGTTGGGGATTTTAAGTCGAATCCTGTACGAACGACCCTCCGCCTCCCTTAACAACGTCCCGTGAACGAGAAATCAAAATGCCATAAATAAATTGTCCAGCCCAACATTCCACCCCCCCCCCCTCTCGCTGGCGCCCAAAAATGCGAACCCCCCCCTACTGGGGATTCCCCACAACGGTTGTGCCCGTGATTCGTTAACAGTGCCCTCTAAAACACTGGAAGAGTTTCACATATACGGGATCAAAATTCCCTGAACTTAGAAGACCGTAGTTTTCAAGAAACTGCAGCCTTCGCTAGACGCTTGGTCGAGAGAGAATATTGAGATGTGACTAGATAACACGTTTGGCGACATTGGCGATCCACTGCTGGACGCATCACTTTTTTGCCGCGTGGGACATTGCGTCCCACTGCTGGGATGCGGCATGGGTAAAAAACCAATTTAAAAACGTTTCAAATTTTCAACAGCTACATATTGTACAGGAAGGCATTGTAGAATATACAGTTAAGCTGCAAAAACATAACAGTTTTGTGTCTTGGGAGTATTTTATCGGAAGTGATAAATAGGAAAGGATTCGCTTAGGGAAAAAAAAGGTAATTTTTGGATAAATAGAACTCAAGCTCCACATGTAGATAGCTAACGTGATAAGGTAACTTTCTACAATAGCAGATCTGGATCGAATCCAATTTACTGCCTCTGGCGCCAAAAATTCCTTTTTTGCGCCTCTTTCCCACGCTCCGCGTGTATGGGGCGGGAGTATTCCACGAAAATTAAGGGTTTAAATTGAAAGTAAAAAAACAGCAAAAATTTACTAGCTTCTGCATTGAATACTAGTCCTTCTGCAAGTGTTTTGGTGTGTAAACGCCCTAGCATTCATGCGCATTCCTCAAAAATAGGGAAAAATTGCTTCGTCCCACGCGGCAGACACGCGAAAAGGCGCCTTGTCGCCAATGTGTTTAATGACCTTTTCCAAGGCTTCTGTATTATTAGGCGTTTGCCTCACACAGTTTAGATGAAGGAATAAATGTTGAAGATCGCTCACCCCAAAGTGCCACACACCACAACACAAACCATGCTGTATAGCCGGGAAACGATCGAAGGTAAAATAACGAAACAAGACTACAATTCGACAGGACGAAAAACTGATGGAGTAGAAGTGGAGCTTCCGGATAGAAAAATGCCTGCAAGCACAGGAATTCTGACCCAAATGCACAATAAACACAATACGCGAAATCTCACAATGCATCCAAATCCACCATATGCCGTGACCAATCCTGGCAAATATTCGTATATGATCTTATCCTCGTCCATTTCCAGACTCTTCAGCAGATCACTTGAGAAAAAAGGGCACTCAGAAGCAAGGAAAACCAGATATTCAGAAAATGTTTTAGGAGGTTCCCACAGTTTGGTAGCTGAGAACCACATCTATCACGTGAGCGGCGCAAAATCCAATCGTCACAACACTGAACCGCGACTAACAAAAAGGTGTCGAAATCGCTATAACGGAAGAATTCCCAAATAATTTGCCAGTGGCGTAAGGGATAGCGCACTCGCCCTGACAGCGGGAGATCCGGATTGGAATCCCATCCGGGGTTTCACTTTTGCAAGGTGCATAGGTGGGATTGCTGGGATTGGTAAATCGCAGGATTTTTTTCAGGGACAAAGTGGATAATAGGGGCTTCCAGAGGTACTCGCACGGGCCAAATGGAGGCTCGTCAATCGCCCCATTTAGGATTTGAAAACGGTATATGGTGCGGCACTGTATTTGTCCAAAATTTTAACCGCAAAATCCTGAACCGGCTTATTTGTTTCCTTGTCAGAAGGCATGCAGGGCACGCCATCGCGTTGTGATAAATTCCTGACAACAAAACGCCTCCCCCAATTCCATCCTCTGATACGCCCCCCTCCCCATCCTACCTACCACTTTCCTAGATTTTCTCAACTTCTCACCACTTTTTCCAGTTTTCCCAGCATTTCCTGAAAAATTTCTAGTTTTTCGCCAAAATTTTGATGTCGAGCTTGGGGGAAGGTCCTACAGGTCACGATTTAACTATTATTTTCAACTGTCAGAAACAGTAGCTGTATAGAAGTTTGGCGGTGCCACCAATTAGGGAGGTACATAAAACCAGTGAAACGGGAAAACCGCAAAAAGTCAACAACCCAGAAAAAATTTTTTTCCAACGTAGCAAATTCCTCTCAAAGACATATACGATCCCTCCCTCTCCCAACAACGACCAAAGAGGACCTCTCCCCTTATAGCAACCGTAAAACAAGAAAAATCAGATTTCAAAAAAATTCACCAGATTAAATACTTCCCCCTCTTCATCGCCTTCAAATACGACCCCCCCCCCGTTGTGACCATCGCAACAATGGCGTGCCCTGAGTGCATGAGCACGTAAATAATTCTCCTGAACAATATGCGCTACATAATTACCTTTGGTGAGGTCAAATTCCATTGCTGAAGTTTATTTGTCCGTCTCATGCTCTGTTGTGGCATTCTCTTGAGCCAGCTCCACTTGGAGAAATGGGCGACACGACACCGGGGGAATCGATGTGTAATTGGTGG